TAAGTACCTCAGCCTTTTCCTCATCCACAGTCACATCTACTAGAGGGTCATTTGGATCAGCTCTCTTTTGTCCTTACAGTTCATACAAGGGGAAACCTAAGCAAAGTATGCAGTAAATTTAATTGCACAAAGATCATTTAACACTGCAGGAGAAAAAGAGGTAATGAAGGAAAGGTCCTGGACCTCGCAGCTCCTGGGTGGGCCCAAGTTCCTCCCGGCAGCACCGCAATGGCAACTGCTGCTGAAGAAAGGGAATGCAGGGCTGGTTTGGATGTCTTAATTCCTACTGGGATTTCTTTTTTTTTTTAATTTATTTGCCTCATGCATTTCCTCACTCTTTAATAACTATCATCATAATTTTAATTATTATTTGCTAAGATATTTTCTTTGTATTTGCTATGAAAATGCTATTTCTGAGATGTTTCAAGTGTACGCTTCTTTATTCTCCCCTGTCCGCTAAGCGTGGTACATTATTCATTACTCCTCTGTAATTTGATGTAAATTTTTTCCCATGCAATCACCCCTTTGAATTTTGAAGTATGTTGTTGGTTTTTTAATCACAATTTCTGACTAATCTATAAAGAAAAGAAGCCCCTAGCAAGTATTCACGAGCTTAATAATTTTAAATCCACGCTTTCCCTCCTCCAGCATTCTGGCAGACGTGACTTTATTCGCCTCATCAGGAACGTCGGCCCCTCCGGCCAGCCACGGAGCAGTACCTAATTCAAAAGTTGTCCCGTGTGCCGTCATACTCCAAGTACTTGACCTTCGACCTTTAGTCACCATCACCGAGAATTCATACAAGGTATTTGGTTTTAACCCCGTCACTAAATAGCTCAAAGTGGTCGCATTTGCAGTCTGAAAGAAAAACAAAGAGTCAGTAACTTCTGAACAGAAGGCCATCCGTCACCAGCTTTTAAACACCTTTGTCTCAGGTAAGCGTTTAAAACATTTTAGCATCCCTACATTTTCATAACCACACTCATTAATTCCGTAACATTTTTGCTCTGTCATGCAAATTCATTAATCAAGTCGCAATGCGCAACTGTTTTATCCTAAACTAGAAATTCTTTCTGCAATCAGCAAGAGCATTTAATAGCAGTCAATTATGGTGGTTTTTTGTATTGTTTTGTTTTTTTTTTTTTAAAAAAGCAATACAAGGTCCAGGGCACACTTGTCATGCAGCAGGCTAAACTGCTGTCTACTTGGGGGGTTTAATTTACAGCATTTCATTAACTGATCTGGCGAGGGAAAACAGTGAAGCACGGCTAACAGTAACAGCCCTCCTTGAAATCTGTACCTGCCTTCCAAATTCCTGCCAGAATTTTCAGTAAATATTTAACATGCTTTACAAAAAAAAAAAAAAATCAACTGAAAGTGCAGGTGCTGAGAGACTTGAAGATAATGAAGCTTTATTAATAGGTAGATCTTTTTCAGAAGAAAATGGTTATCTAGGATCACAGGCTGAAACAACACATGGGTTGTAGTGTGATTTGTAACTCAGCCATTTCGGTAGAATTTTTGACCTTTACATTAAATTTCTGATATTTGTTATGCATGACTTGAACATAAGCACAAAGTACTTGAGACCTATGGAAAAAAATGATGTATCTACATACATGTATATCCCTTACCTTGACCTACAGCAATGTGAACACAGAATCAAAGGGTCAGTTGTTTCAGTTTTTGACAGGGTCATAGAAAAACTGTATTAATAACTATCGCCTTCAGAAAACAACTGTTTTCAGCTAATTCTTTTTCAAGGAAAATGCCATCTTTGTTCCTTGAAGACTATGAATAATATAGTCCAAATTCAGAAAAAAAAGAGCCTTTATATCTCAAATATCAATGCCAGCTTTCTTTTAGCTCTGAGCTGCAGTCACGTGTGGCAACTGGAGTCCTTATTACAGGTTAAAGTTGTATTTTTCATCTATGGCTTTGAGACTTGGTATCTTCCAGTTTCACTGCACATCGCACTGAATGTGAATGACACACAAAACGCTAAACGGAGTGTTAGAATTCTCCGCTTCCTTCATTTTTTAACACCACTTACTGTTTTTAAGAACACAACTTATCCCGTGACACAAAACCCTTCCAAAGTATTACCCTGTAAAATTTATTTTCCTTTTATATGGTCCTAAAAGATCCAAGTTAAGAATTAATACTTCAGCTTACGCTTGAGAGGGCAATGATAAATCACAGGTAGCCCCCGTGAGTGGGACGACTCTGCTCCCCCAACAAAGATCCTTTGCAAAACGCTCTCTGATCCACACTACACAGTTCAAAGCGCAGTGGAGTATTTTAACTTCAGGAACCGGATCACATCTGTTGTGGTGTTTACATGCTCTAGATTGACAGAACTCCTCTACAAATTGAGGAAAAATAAGGCTCCTTAAGGTGGAACCTCTTAACTTGTATTTGAAGCATGCAGCCTCTTTAAGAGTTTGACAGTGTCAGCATAGAAGGGGAGAGCAAATGGAAAAAATATTAATAAAATACATCAACATCCAATTTACTGACGAGAGGGATGGATGAAACAACACCGTGGTGATGTAGCTTTGGGTACTTGCAAGCTGACACAAAGATAACGTTTCTGCGTGCAAGGCTGCGTACCAGAGAAGCTCCGATGCAACTGGGCCAACAGACTCAAAACAAGCAGTAAATAACAAAGCTGCTCGAGGTGGCCATAAGGAATGATAGACTACCTCATAGTCAATAAAGGTACCAAAGACCTGCCTGAAATAAGGCAGCAGATTGAACAGCGTCGCTTAAGAGAGGTTTTGTCTTTCCTAAAATTAGCAGTTGTTGCAGTCCAACATAGTACACAATTCAGGACTGAAACAAATAATAAAAGAAAATGAGAATATGAGTTCTCCAAACATCATGCCTTAAAAATTATTAGAGCTAATGTTCTCAAACTTATGTTCTTTCAGGCAAATGCTTCTTACAATGAGTAATTTGAACTATATTCCATCCTTACATATTATGTTGGACCACGACAAAATTTCTTGACCGCTGGCCGCCAGCACTGAGAAGGTGGAAGTGTTTAATTTACCACTGGGGGTGGGTTTTTCAAGCACTAAACTAATGAAACTGCAGCATTGTATAAATCACTCCCCAGACATCCTTTGCATGTGGCTCAAGAATGTGGGTTCATAAATGACTTGCCTTTAGAGGAAGAACACACATATATACATCTTTTCATTTCAATTAGGAAAAAATCTGGTTTATAACAAGATTGCTCCGTGAGAGCATAAAGGGAGCTCCACTAGCTGCATATTATAACAACCATTTCCTTTGAGTCTCCTTTCAAATGGGAAATTTGCAGTCAGCATTTTTGAGGCCTCCAGATAACTCTGATGTATTACTTTTTTTTTTTTAAAAAAAGAAAGAAATCCAACCAACCAACTAAAAAAATCCAAACCAATAAACTGAATCCCAAATCTAGCCTCCAAATCAAAACAGTGGGTGAAAACCAAGGAAGGCAGGGATATCACAAAGTTATTGTTACATATATTGCCCCCATTCAGTTCACTATCAACTTCGTATGAGCAAAAAAAGTTGTAAAAGGAAACGTAAAACCATCAGGGTAAACATTTTCCCTGCATGACTCACCCCACAAATTCAGATTCTTCTGCTAACTGAAGAGAAGCCATGAGGAACATGGACCTTGTTAATACATTACCGGCTCCTCTAAAGGTAAGCCCACGTCTATCACACAAAGCCATCGCATTAAGGGTAACGCCAAAAGGATCAAACTGTCACTGTGTCCTTGTTCCACAGCAGAACGGAATTCTGGGAGCCTTCCTTCCCTCAGCCAGCTCTTCCCTTCACTCACACACAGAACCGTCTCCACTCGTACACACACACACGCCACGAACACCACAGAACCAACTGCTTCCACTAAACCTACAAGAATCTTTGCAGCCATATCTTTTCACTTAACCCTGACTTGACTAGAGAATCAACGAATCATTTGGTTGGAAAAGACCTTTAAGATCAAGACCAACCATAACCTGTCCACCAATACACCATGTCTCTCAGCACCTCATCTCCCCATCTTTTAAATCCCTCCAGGGATGGGGACTCCACCACTGCCCTGGGCAGCCCCTTCCAGTGCCTGATAACCCCCACAGTGAAGCAATTTTTCCCAACATCCAATCTAAACCTCCGTGGCACAACTTGAGGTGATTTCCTCTCGTCCTATTTGCTTGTTACATGGGAGAAGAGGCCACGAAACTTCTCACTGCAGTACTGCAGCTGTGTTAGTGTTGTTGAAACTCCGATACCTTGTACTTCGTATTTGCGGGAATATTTGTTTTCCAGCGAACTGTGTAGTAGCGAGCATCCGTGATCTTCTGGTTCTTTGGCAGAGAGTTGTCTGCCCAAGTGATCCGTATGGTGTCGTGACTCAGGATGGAAGCCTGAACTCCCACTGGTGGCATCATGGGAGACGGATCTGGCACTGGAGTGTATGGAGCATTAATAACAAACAAATCAACCTCGGAAGTGTCTAGGGAATTGATGGGTAAAAAGTTGTGTATTATAATTAAAAAGGGAGAAGGTGGCATTTTAATGTCAACAAAAAACAAAAAAGGAGAAATGCAGGGTAGTACAATGAAATGAAAGGTGAGAAATGGAGAAAAAGAGAGAAAAGCCAGAGTTAATAGGTGACATAAGACTGGCCAATAAAATCACTCTTCATCGTTTTCCTTTAAGACAGTAAGACAACATATACATGCTAATATATGCATGCATATATATATATATCTCCCTGATTGTATTAGTGTTCAGCACATTTAGCCACAGCCTAGGAACCCCAAAGACACAGTAATTTTAACTTGGACTTTATTTGCCTCAGAATGTCCAGAAAACAATGAGTAGGAAAAAGATCTAGATGGGTACGTGCCACTTCATAAAAATTAGACGGGAGTCCCATCATCTTTTAACTAATGTTAATGGCAATCAAGTTCCAAGTATCATAAAAAATTTCAGTAACTGAAGAAACTGCAATTTGCTGTAGAATCTGTAAGAATTCCTGCTCTTCAGAAGACTAAAACAAACAGGTGTTAACATCTGCACAAAGTAACTGATGTCAACAGTCTAGCAAGGAGCACAGTGAACATCAGCACAGTAATAGCTCACTTGCAAACATTTCTCTGCTTAAAATTTTTCATTACTCTATTACAAGATTAAAAAAAAAAAAACTTGTTTAGTGTAAGTGACTGCAGATTAAGACTTAATAAAAAATGCAGGCATCGTATTCAAAACCTCAGTGTAAAAGAAAAAGGAAAAAAAATAATCTATACTTGTCCATGAAAATCAGAATTCAGGCAATGGCTCTAGGACTGCACTCACCCAATGTGTGCTAACGTAATGGGAACTTTTTGAATAAGATCATCTACGAGTAGTTGAAAAGTAAGTTTTGTGATTTAAAAATGAAACCAATTTTAGGTAATTTAATGAACAAATGAAGCAGGTGAAGCAATCACCACGACAGTACGGCCAATCAGTTACAGAAACGGAGCGTACTGGCACTGAAAGCCAACGCTCCTGCATCGCCCATCGCCCGTGCAGCTGCTCGGTGTGGTAACAACGTTGGCTGTGCAGAACGTAAAGATCAGCAGCTTGCCCTTACCTGAGTGAGGCCGGGTCACTGCGCTCTCGTAGAGAGGGATCCCTTCGCCGACGTTGTTAAACGCTTTCAGAGTTATGACATAGTGGGAGCTTGGGTCTAAAGAGGAAAAAAATCCAACCTCTTTTTAGTGCAAACTGTCAGTGAATCCTGTTTTCTGCTTCTCCATGTTCTCTTTGGTCAGTGTTTTATTTTTTAAACTGAAATGCATGAAATAATTAAACTAAACCTGAACTGAGAAGGTCTCATCACAGAACTTCTTTTAGCGTTCAACAGCTCTCATACGGCAAGTCTATAATTACAGCAAACCTACCTTCAGTACGGTCAAAATAGCAGTGAGGAAAAACATTTCAAAATGGACCCTTTAAGTTGGTCTGCTATAATATTATCCAAAACTCCAATCTTATGAACCTTCCTCATCGTTTGCAATCCTAGTATTTACTTTGCTTTCAGGTATTTTACCTACCACAGAGAATTCTGTGGAGGAGCGATTCTATATTTTTCTTTTTATGTAGACTCCACCGTATCTTGGTAACATTTTAGTATCTTTTTTGCCCAAAGCCACCTGCTCCGCAGCTCCAGAAGGAGATTAAGGGAATGCTGCTCAGCATGAAAGTTTTTGTCATAAAAAGCACTGTGCTTCAAGCTCGGTGAATCCAGGGTTTTGGGGTATTTTTTATTCCTCCATCATCAGAAAATTTAGTTTATTTGAAATATATCAACAGTTATGCATCCGGTGTAGAATCTGAATACAGAAAAATACCTTCTGAAAAACCTGCTTGTAGTTTTATTTATTTATAATCCCATAATTAGTAAACAGTACCATAAATGAAAAGTAAACTTGAGGCACTGATGTTAGTTGGCTTTCCTTACCTAAGTTTTCAATGGTGTAGTATCTCTGCTTGTAGTCCACCTTGATGGTCTGCGCGTGAGGGCTGCCAACGCCGTATCCTATCGCGTAGCCTCTCACCACAATGTTCTGGTTCTCAGGTGGAGTCCAGCTTACGACGATACTGGTGACAAGCGGACGGACGTGTAAGGAACTGGGAACTTCAGGAACACGAGTTTCTGTTAAAGAAAAACGATGCATCTCAAGGATTTCTCTTGAATACAGGTAATTACGCGAGGAGCTATTTGACCTAGTGAGGTCAAATGCAACGCTTCTACTCTGAAGTGAGTATGCCCCAAAGGAAAGGGCTTTAGTCTACGAGAGAGAGCAGTGAATAGGCAGAAGAAAACTCCCATAGTTTCATATATTAATTTATTTTAATTGATCCTCTTTAAATAAAGGACAGTTGTACTGAAGAAGAGCATCAGATCTGCTTCAAGGCAGACTTTTTTGATGTTTGTGCATGCTCTTTCCAATTTGTAATTTTTGAAAATATGCATTAAATTTATCACATCCTTCCCCTCCACAAAGCCATGTACTTTCAGTTCCATCATATTACTTACTTGTGTGCATTAATAGAAGTATATTGAAAACACATTGATGATCAAAGAAAGGTTCCTGAGCTGCTTGTAGGATTAAATAAAATATTCCAAAGCTCTAACAGTCGTCAGTAAACCATCTATTGCACGTGCTGCAAAGGTTTGTTGTGACTTGTCCTACGCTGTCGCCGTTTAAATCCCCGAGTCTCTTCTACATAATTCACTGAACATATGCAGAGACTACACAACCACACCACAAGATCAAAAAGTACCCGTAGAGTCCACATCAAATGTTCAAACCCCAGCCCCAAGAGCAACACAAACCTAATCGCAACCCAAAGGGGAGGTGGGATGTGGAAGGACTTCCACAATGTCACTGTAATCCCCTAATACTTTTACTAAAAGGTTTTTTTCCCCACTGTTGATTAGACCCTAAAAGCAATCTAAAAGCCCCACCATACCTACTGGTGTTGTATCCTTAACTCCTCAAAAATGAAATTAATATTTGTCAGGCCACTGGAGCCTGCCGCACATTGGCAGATTTTAAATAATTCTCTGCAATATAAAGCTGAGTTCTCCACTCTAAAATAAAATCAGTACAAAGAGTTCTGCTTCCTGCAGGGATTTCATTTTAATGAAACATGCTGCATTTATCTAAAAACATTTAATAAAGCACCCCAAGAGGATTATTTGGATCATAATATGCCATTGGCCTGCTAGCCCAGGGAGTTGATGGTCTCCAGCTGACACAGCTGATCAATTAAAGTCCACAACTATTAAATACAGAAAAGCTACAGAGCTGCAGTACAAGAGATGACATTTCCAACTGCACAGAAGTTAGTGCAGTGGGGATAAACTCTGTACAGCTGCTTAACACCTCTTGCATCTGCGCTCCTGGTGGGACTTGCACCAACTCTGCAAAATTCCACAGCTCAGCTCACGCTGAATTGCAACAGCTCGGCTCCCGTTTACACTGATGACACTATACAGGGAATTATTTCTATTTAAATTCAAAAAGCAGCCACGGAATAGAAAGGAATTATGCCTTCCATATCTACTAAACCTGAGAAATTAAAGATTAGCTGTAAATACATTTGCATGGTATTAAAATTATCCACATGAGCTTACTAAAGAAAGAAGAGCAAATAATATATATCATCTTTCTAGTACGCAGATACACAAATACCTCATACGTGTATACAGAGTGATATGAATACTACATTAACTGTGCCTACAGCCTTAACTGTGAATCTTTATTTATCGTAAAGAATATGCATAAAGAAAGTTAGATTTCCTGCAAAGACTGCAACGGTCCTATTTGAAAACTAAATTAAAATTATAAAGTCCGCACAGAAGGAACGGGTTCTTTTCTTCTCCCCTCCTTCTGCCCTATTTAAATCTCATCCTGATGCTATCCTCTGGCAAAGTGCTGTTAAGTCCAATGCAAAAGCAGAGCACATTTTCATTACCATGCGTAGTGCTGCCTATTTACAGAGCTCTGTTTGGGTTTGGGGAGCCAGGGGTTTCTCCCTGCTGCACGGTGGTGTCATACCCAGTTAGAGGAAGACAGACACAGAGACAAAAGCAATTTCAACTCTAAAAAGTCACTTTATGTAACTGCAAAACTGAACTCCACCATTAACACTGGGGTTTGTGCTGCTCTTTATTAAGTAATGGAAAGCATGCAAGGAGAGGACAAGCATTAAGCTGAGCATCAACTTTGCATAACACAAAGACTGAAGTGTGGGCTCTCGAGGGCTTTCATCAGCCACCTGTTGAAGCAAACATTGAAGCTCTTCATTATTCTTGTCTTCCAGCTGCCCTTGTAACTGGACCTCAACCACACGGATGTGAGACCTGACTGGGTCCTGCAGCATTATGCCACGACAACCCTCCAGCTACTTTAAGAAAGCCAAGAGGGAGCCTGGCCTGCAACCAGCATAAGGTAACTCATGTGCCACTGTTCTAACCGACCACTTTTCGGCTACAGGAACAGCCCATCCAGAATCACCAGCTCCATGGAGGCAGTTCCAAAGAGATTCCCCCCAGCCAACCTTTTAAAAATAGCACTTTTTTTTAATTGCTCTTCTATGCTGGGAGATGCTCACAAGTTTGCTAGTTTGAATTCTGCAAGAACCAGGTTCCCACTTGCACATTATCCTAAAGTAGTAAACACCAAACATCTGGAACAACTATCAAAGGACAAAATTACTCACAGAACATTTTCTACTTTTGTTGTTAACACTGGAAAAACCCAAAATGTTAACACGGTTCTGTACAGTGCATATCATGAATCTATGGCTTTGGTGGAAAAGATTTCATTTCCGATGGAAGATATGGTCCACACTAGTCTACCAGTACTGAAAGTAGAATCAATCTCCTTTTTCTTCTGGAAAAAATAACAATTACTGGGGGTCAAATGTTCTCTTCAGAAAAAGACTGATTAAAAAAATATGAAAAAAGAAAAAGGAAAAGAAAGAGGGAAAAGAGGGAAAAGAGGGAAAAGAGGGAAAAGAGGGAAAAGAGGGAAAAGAGGGAAAAGAGGGAAAAGAGGGAAAAGAGGGAAAAGAGGGAAAAGAGGGAAAAGAGGGAAAAGAGGGAAAAGAGGGAAAAGAGGGAAAAGAGGGAAAAGAGGGAAAAGAGGGAAAAGAGGGAAAAGAGGGAAAAGAGGGAAAAGAGGGAAAAGAGGGAAAAGAGGGAAAAGAGGGAAAAGAGGGAAAAGAGGGAAAAGAGGGAAAAGAGGGAAAAGAGGGAAAAGAGGGAAAAGAGGGAAAAGAGGGAAAAGAGGGAAAAGAGGGAAAAGAGGGAAAAGAGGGAAAAGAGGGAAAAGAGGGAAAAGAGGGAAAAGAGGAAAAAGAGGAAAAAGAGGAAAAAGAGGAAAAAGAGGAAAAAGAGGAAAAAGAGAAAAAAGAGAAAAAAGAGAAAAAAGAGAAAAAAGAGAAAAAAGAGAAAAAAGAGAAAAAAGAGAAAAGGCTCGGGAAAGATATTTTAAGAAAAAAATCATAGTGCACGTAGGAGCAGAGTTTAATTTCAAGCCATTTTACTCATCTGGCAAGAATTTGATGTTAAAATGGAAATTAATTTCACTTAATCATAAATAGAGCACATTGCACAATTAGAATACAGTAAAATCAATTCAAAACAATTGGGTTTGCCTGTAAAAAGGGCAGTCAAACCATAGTGTGCCCTGCCTGCAAATTCTAATGGTTTTGATGTCACAAATACGGTCGAACTTCTGATCTCACCATCCAGATCACTCTCAAATGTCTCTGCTGATACCCAGTCCGTGGCTGGGCCAGTGCCGTTCACAGTCAGGGCTGCCACTCGGAAGCTGTATTCTGTGCCTCGCTCCAGACCTAAGGAACAAGAAGCACCCAAGATATCAACCCAGGACGGATTATCTCACACCAACTGGGGTGTGACAGCTACGCTGGGACACTATGCACTGGCCCCACGTGCTGCTGGCAGACCCCGCGAGGGACTGTTTGCAGCCAGTTGTAATTTCTGGCTATTCGTTAGCTTTAAATACAGAACCACCCACATTTATAACTAAACACTGATGCAGACTGTAGACAGCAAGTGAGCAAACTGCGCAAACAGTTTGTTTACTGCACGTAAGAGTGTATAATCACTAATCAAAGCAGTACGAAAACGCACTCAAAACTGGGTAGATGGAACACAGGCTTTGTTGCTGGCAAAAAGATATTTTAGTTACAGGCACATAGCAAATCCTACTCTGAGAAAACTGAAACAGAGTCACAGCAGGATCTCTGACTTCAAAACATCTTGTTAAAAAGTGTATATTCGTTTCTAGAAAGGCACAATTTCTTCTCTTCTGACCAACCGTTCATTTACAGAGGTTTAAAAAATGAGTAATATGTAGTCCTGCTCCTGTTCTCACATACTGTTTATTTTTGCTATACAAAACTCTAGTTCTGGTAACAATACATAATTTAGGCTAAGTAATGTACTAAGCTGGATTTTTTGAAGTGTACAAAATAAAGAGGGGATGTCCATGCCAGAAAGAAGGGAAAAGGCTGATGGCAGTGGATCCAGGTGGGATGATTTGTGTGCACAGCGCCTCTGAGCTGGGCCTGTCGGTGAGCATCGCATGACAGAGCGTGCACCCACGCGTTACCACCACGGAAGAGGTGAGACTGCCCAGTGCCCACTCGACTGCATTTCTCTGCCATCCTTCTCCAGACTTACTTCTGGCATTCGGTGCTGAGCTCACTGTATGTGCCCATTTTCTCCACATAACCTTATGCTTTTTAGAAAGGTTTGAAAGGATTCATCCAGTCCGCTTAGCAAAATTAGGGCTAAAAAAACAGGTCACAAGACTTTGGCTGCCACTAGCCAGCCCACGCTGCCTCATAACCTACGAACACTTAATTTATGTGTCTTCATTTTTAATCCCAAGGCAAGAACCCTACATAAACATGTTTCTGAGTCTCAGTCCAATAGCGGCACCTAAACCCCTCCTTTTGATAACAAATGCTTGCAAATAAGAGCTCACCTTCAATCAGCTGGAAGAGCTGGGTTCCACCAATGCTCTCCGTCACATCGCTCTTGCGGGACACCTTACGGTAGCGAATCTTGTATCCAGTGATTTGCCCGCTCTGTGTCCCTGCAGGAGGGGGCTGCCAGTGCAGCATGATGCTCTGTGGAAGGCAGAAGGTCATCACAAAGCCATCGCCTCCCACGCAGCCAGAGACACCACTCTAGCGCTACTTCACGAAGCACAAGATAAAACACATGCGTACGGGAAAGACTGCATTTTCGTATTGTAAACCATAGGCTAGCCGTAAAAAGCAGAAACTCTTATGATTGCGCAGCAGCCCAGGTCATATAGTGCCTGTAGAAGTGCACCTCAAAGGGTTTCAGTCCTGTTAGACCTTCTGATTCCAATTTCACAAATAGCCCCTTGGGCTTCCCTCTCATTTTCTCCGGGTTATCCTGAAATATGGTTTATTTGAGGATCTATCTTTAAGAAGTGATATTTTCTCTAAAGGGTGCAAGTTACCTGAACTGCAGTTTATGTGCAGGAAGTTGTTTATTTTTAGTCACGCAGGTTGTAGAAAAAGATATTTGGAAAAGAGTTTTGAAAATGCTTTTTAAAAAACCTCCAATCAATCACTAAAGTCATAATGACCAAGGACACAATTTCCTCTTTTAAAGTGCCTGGGCGTGCACGCGTGGGCACACACATGGTACACAACAGTTAATCAACAGGAACACATTCAAGCTCTGGTGCTTCAGGCTTTTGTGCCTGATTAAGCCTATTTCATTATTAGCCTCCAAGCTTTGGTAGACTGTCACTGGCTTTGGACTGGAGTTTCTATCGCTTAAAGCCCCACATTCAGATACTCTTCTCTTGGGCAATTCACACACAAATAGCTGAAAAGCAGCAGGGTAGAAAAGAGACCCAAAGCTGCTCTAAATCGGGGTTGATCCAAGACTCACCAGCCACTCAAAATCTCCACATCTTACCTTGGAATTGCGCACCTCCAGCGTGAGATTCTGCGGTGGAGCACTGGGGACTGGAAACAGTAAAGGAATTACAACTCCCAAGTTTCCATATACTGCATCAAATACTGTATTTCCATATGAAACTGCTCCCTGCTATCACTCATTATGAAAGTACAAACCATTGTGGTTAGAGACATTATAGAAAGTAACTATGAAATTCTACCAGAGGTACTGTATGACTGGCTTAGGAAGTTTATGTGTTTTCAGCACAAAGAATGAACTCAATTTTTATTCAGGTTTTCACTTATCACAGGTTTCTACCAAAAAAAAAAAAAAAGTCTTGTATATAAAGGTACTTCCCATAAACTCATAAGAAAAAAGATCACGTTCAGTACTTTTCAAAATCACATCTTTAATTTACATTCTGGGAACCCACAGTTACAATTCTGGCCATGGTTTTTGTTACTGTGATTTTCTGTAACAGGGAAACCTCAGAGTGAACACGTCCCTGCGAGACTGAAGAGGTGAAGCACATCACAAAGACACTTTCTGCTTTCAAACTTCTCCTCTTTGTTGGTTCTTTACAAGCTGGAGCAACTTGCTGGCCACCACAGTGAAAGTCCATTAGACAAAAAGGCAACCTAAGAGAGAAAGCGAGCCCAAGGCAATTCTTGTTGCAGGCAGCACTTCAAACTCGCAAAGGTTATCTCAAAGGCAGAGATAAGGGTTCCCTGGCAGGAAGGGGAGGCTCCAGCAAAGCATAAGGCCAGGGAAGTAGCACAACAGGGCTAAAGATCCTTTGGGCCTGAATAATGGGTTTTTCCAGATAACTCACACCAGCCAAAACAATACCTGAGAAAACACTCCTGAGTGCATAAAGCGAAAGGTGCCCTGCGCTAAGTGAGAGGTACGCTGGGGTGTGCTTAAACAAACACCCCTCTCCCGCTGTCTCACAGCAGAAACGGAGACAGCGAGGGTTTGGTTTTCCTTCTCTCTTTGCCACTGAAATGAGTCTGAAGTCACCAGACGTAGGGATTAAGTCCTTCAACAGGCAAGAACACAGGTTAAGGGGAGGAAATGAAATAAAGCTCTGCTTTTTTTGCTGTTTGTTTTATGCAGCTGGAGCCTACTTTCAGAACAACCTTAAAAAAAAGTCACGGGTTTCACAAGGAGTGATTAATAATTAATGTGTACGTTGCAAGCTTGGTGACAGAAAGACAATCAGTGGCACACAGGAGAGGATTTACACACATGTAAATATGTTCACATGCGCCTATCTCACCATGCGCAGTTTGTTTTATGTCAAAGCAAGCTTGGACTCGGACCAGATGAAGAAGTTAAGCAGGCCAACAGGGCAGGAAAGGTATGGCCTAGTCTGGAACGTTGTACAGCAACGTGATTAATAATTAATGTGTACGTTGCAAGCTTGGTGACAGAAAGACAGATGAAGAAGTTAAGCAGGCCAACAGGGCAGGAAAGGTATGGCCTAGTCTGGAACGTTGTACAGCAACTACCCAGGCAGGAGAACCCCGACACGCTGATGGTTCAGCCTGCAAGGACGAGTTGGTGTGGGAAATGCCCCCGTCAGGGTGCGATGCAGAGATGACATTTTCAGACGCAATATGTGATTGCCTCCTACAGATGAGGGAGACCACGAATCCTTACAAGCAGCACATAAACCTTGGCTCGGACTGTAATACCTGAAGAGCTATGCTGCAACAAACCACCATAACATACCTCAGTGAGAAGCTAAAACCTACATAAAAACATGAAAGCTCATTAAACACAAGCTAAAGGAAGCTTAAGAGTGAATTCACTGCAGGAACCATGGAGATTCCTTACAGACACCACAATAAGACAACATGAGAAGAAAATATGCATCTTTCATCTGGAAAGATTTGCGATATTGAAGGGGAGAACAGCATGGTTAAGCAGCTGGGTTATCGGATTCTAAGAAGCAAGACGACATCCTTCAGAAAGCTGTAGAAAATGGATTTCAGTAGATTTAATGTCAAAACATAAGCTGGGTCAGAAAGAGCTTCAGGAAAACCTGAAAATGACATTACAACTAACCATAAATTCTTCTTCAAACAAATAAGGAGCTGGAAGTGCTTCAGAGAACTGCAGAGATAGCAAATTGTCAGGTATGACAGAAAAAGATAAGGCCGCCCAACCAACTGCTTTGCGTTTTGCTGTGTGGAAGGGAGAGGAGAGGTTTCCATGACACCCTGTACAAGGGATTCCAGGATCTCCCGCACTGGAGGGTCAACAGAAAGGGTGATGGAAGGTTCAGAATGAATGGCAGCACTGCCAGGGTTGGATGCCACTCGTCCAGGACTTCTCAAGGAACTCGGGGATGAAACAGCTGCATGACTTAGAGTGGGCTGTCACCTTTCCCAGGTTACCTCGATGCTGGGAGATGGGAAATTTGATGCCAGTATTTAAATAGGTTCTGTTTTGAGAAACTACTGGAAACTTCAAGTAACGAGTCAGAAACTCATATGAGGCAAATAAACTGAATTCATAGATATGTGGAAGAATAATATGTGGTTTTCACTTTTTTAAAGGGAAATCCTGCGTCATAAACCCAATGGTGAGCTCTTAAGAAATGAAGCAACGAGGGGAAGCCCTTTTCTGAGTAAACAACTGGTTAAAAGAGAGGAAAGAGAAGGTAGGAACATACGTGGTGGGAGATGACCTGTGGAGCTCCACTGTGGTCTGTGCCGAGACCCCCGTTACTCAACACATCCCTAAGTGATGAAAAGGGGATGAGCAGTGAGATGACAGTGTCAGTACAGACAAGATCTGATGGTAAAGAACTTCAGGACATTTTGTGCCTGGATACTATAGTGACAGATGAAATTCATGGTAGATGAAGTTACACACATGGGAAAAATGATCCTACCTCTACATGCAAAACAACAGCTCTAAGCAGACCAATTCTATCCCACAAATGTCACCTCAGTGCTCAGAATGAGCCAAAAAAGCCAAGCAAATACTAGTAATTACACATATGCCTCTTCAGCAACAATTTTAGTGCCCCCTACCTCCATCTTAAAAAGCACGTAGGAGAAAAGAAACCCAGAAAAGTGTTCAGAAAAGGGCACTGAAGGTTGAAAGAGCTTCCACAAATGCAATGGTTCACCAGTTCTGTGACTACGGAATGCGGACAAGAGACGAATGAGGGTGAATATAGCACAGGTCTGTAACACGGGGAGTGGGACAGAGAGGGCTGGTGTTGCTCTTCCATGTGGCACAGCCACAGGCAATAAATGACGTCTGTTCAAATCAGACAAGTCGTGATTTTTCACGGGAAATTTATCTGTAGAATCTTTGTCCGCTTGATGTTGTGGATGATAAACACTGATGTGGGTTGAAGAGGATTCTTCCATGAGGAAGCGAAACTGAATCAGTAAATGCACAGAAGCCATCGCAGATTCAGGAAGTGCCCCAGAAACAAAGTTCTGGGCACAGACAGAACTGGGTACAATGCTCCTCTTGGCTCCTCTGATCTGCTTTTGGTCACCCTGGGGGAGAGGACTCCAGGCTAGGCTCACTTTTGGTCTGACTGTTCTTATATACAAATAAAATTCTCTATATAAAACAGGAAGTTAACATTAACTATCATTCCACAACTTCTCATGTATCTCTATTTGCTCCCACTACCTCTTTATTTGCCTTCTAGAAAATACTGTTACCACTTTCTGCTCTCATTATTATATGGAGCTGATGTAACAGTATTTGTACTGGAGTCCATACAAAGACAGGCAACATTTTCAAATACGACCACAATTAAAATAAAAACACTCCAAAAGCAAAAGTCTGCTCGGATGTAAAAATATTACAGAAAGTAAAAAATAATTTGGAGTTGTTGCCTTCAACATAATTGTATTTCTCTGCCCACTCTTAATACTTTGTAGGCTCAATAACCCATGAAATAATCTACTGATTTTGAGATGAAGGACGCCATTGTTCCATAATCAGAATATCAGATACTTTTGCAGGTACAGTAATTTTCCTTTACCCAATTTGGAAAGCCTCCGGGGGGACATTCAGCACATGCAACAACCACGTTATTAATAAAACATGGCAACGGTGAACAAAAGCTGTAAAAGTCGTCCTGGTTAAAAATCTACTTAAAGGAAATTACCACAATTCCTGGAAAAAAACCCAACCCCAAAACCCAAGAAAAAAATTGGAATAAAGCAGCTTACCATCTGACAACGTTCGAACAACAACGTCTTGGGTCGAGACCCCAGGCCCGTGTTTATTGTAAGCTACCACTCGGAAGCTATACTCTGTGTACTTCTTTAATCCGGTGATGGTGTAGGAGAGTCCTCCTACATCAACATCCTGTTCGTAAAGAAATGTACATACAGGTCAAGGTCAGAATCAGGTCTGCAGTTATTACAAGTGACTTAAGCCTTCTAGTACAGTCGTATTCAAAGCTGAAAGCAGGGATGGCCCCTTTCGGTAGCACCTCCAGATCAAACCCACATGAGCTGCAAGAGAAGGTTCTAGATATTAAATTTAAATTGTAACATGGACACTGCTTCTGTAAATGAAAAGGGATCTGGCAAACTCACCCATCAGTACAAATCATTACTATGTTTTGAAACATGGGATGCAGAGGCAGAGAAGGTAGTTTTATCTGAGGAATACAACGTTCCTAGCTAAAAACTGTTGTCAAAAATGATTGTACATGCTAACAAAAACATTCTTCCCTTAGCTTCATTTTTTTTATAGCTGGAGTCCTACTCCTGTGTAATTGGATGGGAAATTAAACGTCTGGGATTAATCCTCCCAAAGCTGTGCCTATGAGCAGGTGGCAGCCTGCACTGGGTACAGAACACACTGCATTCTTCCAGTAGACAGAGAACATGTACTCAATTACACCCTCACTACTATCAATGGCTAGATCAAAGAACTAAAAAATTAAGAACAATTCAGACTAAGGATCACGCTGAAGTCAGTAATCAGCCTACTTTACTAAAATAAAAACAGCTGACCTAGAGAAACTGTGCAAAGACCCTTCACACCATCTGAACCAGCACTGTTACATGACGACACAGCCATTATTTTGAGTTTCCCTCTTCTGACATGATAGGCATCCCCAGATGCAACTTGATGCGGGAGAAAACCATCACAAAGCCATCACAAAAAACACTGGTTTAATTCCATGAGATAGACATTTCACGCTGCATTTTTAATTCTAAATATTTCTGTAATTTAGGCTGAAGGATTCAGTCTATCCAAAAAATGAACACTTGGCAAGGTGTTTTTGGAAATCTAAGGTAAAAACATAATCAAAATAAAAGGCTGTTACTGGCACTGCATGTGAAGTGGGAAGAGGCAGGGTCTGTACCTGTTCCGTGTCCTGTCCCTTCTCCATGTAGTAGAGCTTGTAGTTCTGGATTTCCCCATTACCAGAGAGTGGTGTTTCCCAGGTGACGGTAACGGAGGTGGGGGAAGCGGCATAGGCACGGATGTTGGGTGCTGGACCAGGAAGCTGAACTGAAATGTAAGCGTGAAACCCTGCTAGTCACCAAACCTCATCATGAACACCTTCAGTAGCTCCTATTTTAGTGTCAACGTCACCACTGGCCTACTCCAGCTACAAGATTTGTTCACATTTCAGCAGGTCCCATGGATTCCCTGGGGGGTGTAAAGGTGGGACCAAGCTCCTGAAGGAGATCCTGCTCCCTGGGTCAGCTTCATTTTGTCCTGAGCAATCTGACAAATCACACTTCACATTTTCTTTTGAAAGAAAGTCTTGCTTGCTTTCAAATTTTTTTCCATTTGTTTTGTGGTTTTTTTCCTTTCTCTTTCAGTCAATGACAATTTCCAAGTATTCCTCTTATAACAGAAACTTTATTTAACAAGAAATGTCTTCTCACTCCTTCTTAAGGGTGAGAATAAATCACATAAGCACACCAACAAGCCAACTTGGAAAAACATTTTGATACTGTGGTCTGCAAGTACAACTTTTAAGAGTGTCAACTTACTATGGGCAAGGTTATGAATGAGGAAAACAACAACAACAACAAAATAATCGAATGTAAAATCAAGAAGACTCAAAATATTCCCAGCTCACCCTCAGGCTGAGTTGCCACCTTCAGCGGTGCTGAGCTCTCCCCAGGGCCGTGCTTGTTCTGAGCCACCACGCGAAAGACATAAACTGTTTCTGGCATCAGGTTTTGGATGGTCACTTGGGTCTCTCCAGCCCGACTGGTGTTTTCAACACGCTCCCTTTCGGAAACAAGCATTGATCAGTTAGAGGGGTTTATGAGGGGGTGAATAAAGGAAGAGTTGCTACTAAGATGTGTCCCAGTGGAATGTATCTAATGTGGTACTGACGTGGTTATTTACACCGCGCTGACTGAACCATGTAACAATACACCAGAATTGTTGGTGACAAACCACCTCGGTTTCCTAACTTCTCTTTGAACAAAAAAATATGCTCTGAAGTGAAAAAATAAATTATACTTTACATCACAGAATTCTAAGTAGTTTCTCTGGTATTCTCGTAACAGCATGTGGTAATTCACAGTGACAGTTTATCCTACTACTCTGAAGCCAGAAGAAAAAATATTTAGGCAGCATACAGCGTCTGGCAAGATTTAAGGCAATTTTGTTAATATTGCGGGGCTGCTTTTCGTGTCTTTTTTCAAAGCAGCTGTTTGAATGCATTCTACCTCCAAACTTTACTTAGTTCCTCCCTAATATTTAGATTCTTCCACAACATCCCAGGGCTCAGACTGGCGCACACCCAGGCAGCCAGCTGTGCTTCCCACACAAGCAGTGGAGTCAACCAAAGGCGACGTCTGCCCACGGCCAGTGGCCCTCAGCAATGGGTTCCCCTCGGAGCTCACCCTGGGGATCTCAGACCGGTGGGAAGGTGCTCACCTCCAGCAACGCCGAGGAGACGGCTCCAGGCTACTGGATCCCCCAGCCTGTCCGCCGGAGCCCCAGGGAGGAGCGTTTCTCTTCAGCTCAGCAAAAAGGTTGACATTTTGCAAACTGAAAGCTGTGCTCCAGTTGGGAAAATTCACTTGATGTGCTGAGGCAACAGGAAGGATCATTGCCCCGCGCTGAGAGACCCCCAGCCATGGGGGAACCGGCTGTTCAGCCCTGCAGAAGCACACTCTTGTATTTAGTTCAGGAAACTCCCTCGGTTCTTATCAAGTTCGAGATTAGAAGATAAAATCATCGACTAAGGACAGCCTGTCTTCCCGACGCATTGCTGCCCGCATGGGGACTTTCACCGAGCTGCGTCTGGGTGACGGCACCCACCCACTGCCCTGCCCTGCAAAGGAGCTTCCACACAAATACAAAAGAAGAAATGAAAAACTTCCCCGCTGAGAAAATGAAAGGAAAATGGAGAAAATGAAAGGAAAACGTGGCCGTTCTGAACACCATTCTTCCCTTTTGTCTGCAGACACTGTTTAGCTCCACAGCAGAGGGCAGACACTTCTCAGCCTGATGATTAGCTGCTATTAAATCATTTTTAATGCAGAAGCCCAGGGAAAATTATTCCACAGTCTCCCCTTTCCTACCTTCCAGCCATTACGCTTCAGTTTAAATCATGGAAATATGATGCCAAAATCCCCTCTTTTAAAATGTATTTCTTTTTAAATCAACTCTTACGGCTGATTTAGCATAACGTGGTTGAAAACACTTTGAAATCCCTGTTGATTTCTGCATTATTACACTGTATCCATACAGAGGGAAACAATACCCTTAGTGGAACTCACCATCTATTTAAACACATTTTCTAGAATATTCTCCTTTGTGAAAGTTAAGTTAAACTGCCATTGCATGAGCAGCTTAATTTATTTCAGATTTTTTAAAATTTCCATCCTTAAATGAGCAGGAGCATTATAGTACATCGGAATGAAAAATCTTTATGAAAGAGTTTTCTTCTTTTTGCAGGGAAGAAGCTCACAGAAAAGCAAGACAACCACTAAAGAAATATCATACCCATCACCAAATGACACTGGGGAAAAAGAGAAATATTTTCCCTCACTAACTTGTCCAGTTATAGCAGCTCATGCAAAATGTTTGCTAGAAAACACATTTTCCAATGGCTCATTTCCTTTAAGACACAATGAAGATATTCAAAAACCCAGAGTAAGTGCCAACCGCTTCACAGCTGCGGAATAACCTTCGTCTCCCATTGACATGCAAAATACATCGCATTTTCTGCCTCAAGCATAAATGCACTCACTGATTTTATCTCCAAAAAAAAATCAGCAATCCAAGGTTATTATTTAAAATTACCAAAAAATCAAAATTATTTTAATGGAAACACAACATTTATCAAAAAATAGACAGACACGTCCAAGTATTGCAATTTTCAGTAATAACCGTGCCTTTCCTCCCAGCAGCATGGCACAAACACGTTGAGATTAACCTAATTAAGTGCTACATGAATCTCTCACTGATGCCCTTTCTTAGGGAGCCTTGAGCACCTTTGACGAGCTCGGACATGTTTAGGCAGGCATAACAGGTACCACACCAGATGCTCCAGATGAATAACTCTATTACCCTACAGAATATTATGACTATTCTAACCCATTCCAGTTTAATCCCCAATTAAGAGCTCTGTAAACTGGAGTTAAGGTATAAAATAGCTATAGAGTATCTACAGGTACTCCTGCAGGGTTTGAACCCTACAGTTCAAAACCAGAAATAAGCGTTTATCTGCAGGTGCAAAGTTTAAAGTTACACTTAAATACATAAAAAACAACCTGCGGGGAATTATTACAAAGTGAATGCAGTCTGTGCCAGCCACGTCGGCTGCAGAGCCTGGCAGTGAGCTCAGAGAGCCATTTTGACAGTCCAATTACACGCAATTAAACTCCATTTTCTGGGTTTGAAGCACACTAGGTTGAACTGTGGGGTTTAACATTATTTGAATGTCTCACACGTGTAATTTACCGTCTCATACCAGCAATGTGCTACCCCCACTGCTTTTCTTTTTGTGCAAATCCTGAAAGTTGAGTTCTGCCCGGGTGCTTGGTTGAAGTCTCTCAGAACTAAACCTCACTTCACCCCTCGACACATTTGAATTTTCATGCCCTTTTCAGGAGAACTGTCTTCGATTTGGAATGCCCAACGGGAGGGTGAAATAACCCCAGAACTAAACAATCCGTAAGGAAGACAGTAATTTTTATTGGATCAGATTACTTGGAGTTCTTCCAGAGGTGTGACACTAAAGCCATGAGACACCCACTTAGTTTGCACGTAATTCCCTCAATAAAACGCTCTGACATCATCACACCAACTTGTGATGTCAGAGATGTCACTGCATACACTGCAGAGTGATTTACATGCTCCTACAGCTTCCAACGTGATGACAACTCTCTACAGCCCTTCACAGACGGTTTAGAGATGTTGGCATATCCAGCTAAGCCATGTTACATGTCCTTGTTTTCATACTTCACAAGCCCAATTTAAAAGGTAAATACATCAAATACCTGGTTTGATCACTGCTCAAATCCAAGCGAGGAAGAGACAATGCTTATGTTACTGAAACGATCCAGTAACGCACGCAAAGGAAATGGTACACAGAGGCAAAAATCGAACAGTATGAGGAGATGGTGCATAAAACTTCAAACCCCAGCCAAGATACAGGATCCTGTGTAACTCAAGGAGTACAAAGCGACCATTTTATAATGCTGGGAAGGAAAGGAGGGTTGCACAGCCAAGCTTGACTTCAAAATGGTCTGATTTCCCACTGCTTAGGTGTGTGTGTGTCATTCAGTAACCAAGCAACGTTCCCACAAGGCCCAACTGGTCAAAAAGCACCAGGTAATGTCACAACAGTAAACAGAACCTCTTCTTTCCTTTTTTCTGGAGGAAGAGGCAAGAAGCAAGACTGGCTGGCAAGATCCCACCTGCTTTCCTGTCTCACTTAAAACATCCCCAGTAAGGATGATTATTACTAAAGGACGGAAGTGACACATTGTGTAATGAACTAAAACATTTGTGAGGCAAAGAAAATTTTACTCATTGCCTCATGAAAAAAATTGCTGTGAGCCTGGATGCCTATCCAGAGAATTAAGAGTGGCAACTCACCCCAAGCACTAGTGTATTTTACGTTCTTTTCAGGTTACTTTCTTAACTTGGAGTCTCAGGCTCTTGTCAGTGAGTAGAGAGAGAATATTCTCTTTGGCAATAAATCTGAGGACCAAGCTAATTTGCAATTAATTAAGCACTGCTCAAAATGACTGCTAGCTCCAACTTCTTCAAACTTATCACAACATTTTGAAACCAATTCTGAGCAGTGGATCCCATCATTAAGAAAAAGAGGTAGATTGAACTAAGCCATTGGGATAAAACATCCAAAACCCGTGAATGCTTCACATTCATGGAATTTCTATTTGCAGGGACTACTTGGGGAGAGTCAACAATTAACCAACACCTAGCACACGGTTCTCTCTAGAATCAGACTGTGTTTACAGGGTTTTAAAGCACAAGGTGACTGCTTGCTCTCAACGGTCCGTGGATTATTCGGAAGATGTTTCCGTGCCCGCTGTGGACACATCTGTTGCAGAGTCAGTGTCAGCCTTAAGCAAAACCAGCGTAAAGAAGAGCTGTGGAAAAGCATGACCCATTTTACCCACTGAGATCTTTACCTGTTTATACCTTCCTTGGTGTAGAAGATTGAATAGGTGAGGTTGTCTCCTTGAGGGTCTGATACAGGCGTTCGCCACGTCAGTCTGATGAAGCGCGTGGAGACGAGGGTGGCCACGACGTCCCGCGGGGCTGAAGGCGATGGTCCTGTTGTAGCTGGTGCTAGATGGTCATTAGTGGCACTGGTCAGTGAAGTGGGAGGTAATGTTGGGATGGCAACATCTTGTCATGTGCAAACATTGGGGAATATGAAGGGCAAACATCACCACGGTTTAAAAAAAAGAAAACAGGAAAAAAAACACAAAAGAAATAAACAAAACCACGATGGGAAACAAAAGAAAATGAACACACACAAAAAAGGCCATTAAACTGAAGGCTGACATGCAGGCCAAGGTAACTACTGGAAACTAATGGGAAGTATTAAGGACAAGGCACTGTCGAGCAAGCAGACCAAATCTCCACTGTAATGGAAGTGGCAAGGGAAGGGGAAGGGTGAGAACTGAGGATAAAATATGGCCTCGTAAGAGGACATACCAGCGGCAAACAGTATTTTCATTTCTTTGTAAACCAGAATACCAAACACCCGTAAAAAACTATTATTTATTCAAAAGCACACCCAGACCCCCTTTCCTACTTTATTTCCTTAACACGCAGAATTAATTGATACTATTCTCAATCACAAGAGGTGACAGATGGAATACACAAAATTCTCTTAAGAAGTGCAAACCCATCCAGGCTGTGCAATTAAAGACTGCAGTCGGTTCACCTGGTCACAGCTTTCCGAGCTGCTTGGGTTCTACCACTGCCTATGGGAAGCTGTGGTGACCAATCTGGTACGGCAGTGGAAACAGAGACTTTTTCCTAACTTTCACTACGGTCACTGCTTTCTTTCCTTTGATGCTTTTCCTTCCTCTTATAACATATATGACATCGTTTTACTAAGATACCAACAAGTGTAAATAACTGTTGCTTCATATTATACCAAGACTTCGTCAACTTTTCTGTGGTAAATCAAGCACGTCTTCCTGTATTAGTGGATTAAAGCTGGGCTAAATCTCCGGGATTATTGCATTAAAAGGTTGGCAAGTTAACAGCACAAGCTATAACGTACAAATTGCTGTTCTCCAAATCCTATTAAAGCAATCCATGCAGTAAATCTAACAGTAATATTCTGAGCAGCTGGACCTCAATTACCAGAGAGTATTACAGGAAGCACAATTAGTAACAAAACCCTAAAGCTCTGGATCCCCTGATTTTTTCTGGATTCTTGGCTATTTACCAAGCTCAAGCAACCCGATGACATTTTCTACATGGGAATCTATACATCCAAATACCTTTAGTCACTTATTAATTATAGAAACTAACTAAAATGGCTCAGATTTTCCCCAAAAAGAGTTCAGGACTAGTAAAGCTTCTGTTGAGAGCTGCAGCACCTCCACCTAATGGAATAGGTGGCCTTGTGCCTCCACAGACAAGGAGAAAAAACTGCACACGACAAACCTGACTGACCCAGAAACAGTTATCTGCCCTGCCAAACCCAGAGAGTACCCTCAGGCAGACACCTGCCAATGTCCCAGCTGCACCGAGAGGGTCTGCCATCCACAACCACCCCATTTTAAACCCTGACAAAGCCCTGTCAACCAAAGCATGATCTTGTGTGTAGGTCCCGAATTAGCAGAACTCTCATTTTTTCATCTTAGGCAACTACTGACAATGGTGGGAGGACAAAATAATTGCTTTTATCTGCCTTGTCGAGTGTAACAGAAGTATGTGAGCAGAACTATGAGACACTTCATTGTTTCATACAAGATACTACTGTGCACAAAGCCACAAAGACCACAGGTGTATTTCTTGGGACGGTGACCACCCCAAATAAGGTCCAGCTCCGCGGGCACACTGGCAGTGTCCTCCGTCCCTTCCCATGTGCCTGTTACCGCTCCGTTGCATCTTCCACCTTTCCTGAAGCTCTCTTTCACATTTTACCTCCTCTCCCAGATACTGCCCATCCTGTCAACTGCGAGAGCTTCACTCCCCCAGCATGTACTGGTGTAAACACAAGCACCAACTTAATGACATTTCAATTCTTCTTGCTTTCGCACTAAAATGAAGGCTTCTCACTTCAATACCTGTATCTTCACAGGACTCTGCAAGACTCCCAGAGCCAGGAGCAAACACATTTTGGTACTGAAAATACAGATCACAGGCACATACACAAGAATATCTTCTTAATTATCTTTTCCATGCTGCAAGAGCCACAGATCACAATTAAGTATTCTCCAGCATACCCATCCCGATCAATAGCCTCCACCATTACTTTCACATTCATTACAAGATCTAAACTATTTTCATGTTCCCATAATGAGGTTTTGTACAGACATGCACCCCGGTTTAGCTCCTCTGGACTCAGGCTGGGCCCCTATGCCCCCAGGGCTAACCTGGTTGTTGCAGCCCTCTCTCTGAGTGCAGGGTCTTCCATCACATCACCCTTGTCTGATGGTAAGGTACAACATCCCGAGGGACAACAGCAGTGTCTCAGGACAGAACAGCTTCTAGATAAAGTTATCAGCACTCACAGCTACTGCTATAACCTTACTCCAATCTTACACCATTTCTCAGAGCAGAGAACACCAAAGTGTGTTGTACACAACTTGTTGACACCAGCGCTGGCTGACCCAGCAGGAGAGACGCTCTCCTACATTTGCTGTTTGTAAATAAAGAAAATTTGTTCAGAGATTTGATAGTCAATGGCAGCTTTAGCTGAAATGACCCTTGGATGGTAGAATTTAAGATCCTGAGGAAGGCATTTGGCATAATCAACACACTGAACTACAGGAGAAGAAACTTGAGCGTGGCCACAGGACACGTGCAATCCCAGAGATGGCTGCCCCTGTGGGAACAGAGCCGAGGAGAGCTGGGTGATCTTCAAGGTCAACTCCTCACAGCCCCAGAATCATCTCTTTTCCTACATACAAGCAGGCAGCGTGGCTCAATAGGGACCTCCTGGCTCAGCCTGAGCACAGAAAGCGTAAAGGAAGCAAAACCAGGCACCACAGAGACTAACCTAACAAGATACAGAAACACCATGCAGGCGTGCAGAGATGGAATTAGGAAATTCAACTCTGGACTGCACAGGGGGCTGGCTGGCCCACCTAGCAGGCTCCCAGTATCATGGTGAACTGGGTGAATACTGACTGGTGGCCCAGGTAATGAGTGGCATTACCCCGGGCTCAACTCTGGTACAGAGAGGGTTTTGTAGCTTCACCAGTGACCTGGAGGATGGGACAGAGAGCATCCATAGCAGGTTTGCAAGTTGTACCAGACTGGGAGGAGCAGCAGACAGACTGGCAGAGAGAGGGATCCACCAGACTGGAGAAAGGGGCTGGTGGGAACCTCAGCATTCAGCACTGACACGTGGAGGCCCGCACAGAGGTCGGGGATCTCCCCAGCCGTCAAAATGAGGCACCAGCTCAGTATCACATTTATGGTCCTGGTTACATCAGCTGGCTGCCTCCTGCGTTTAAGTCTGAGCCCACGTTAACAGTTCCCTCCCTGTCCCTACCTTTACTCCTTCCACACAACGCTGCCAGTGAGGAGCAATGTGTGGTGCTCTGCAAAACACCCGCTTGGTGCCCACAGTTTCCAGCATCTTTCCCAGAGTATCTCCTTGATTAACTTCCATTTCATTTCAAATTTTAAATTTCTGTTAACTTTACACTTCAACTAAGTATGTTCCCCTTGCAGCGAGCTTCTATTTCCTACTCCTCTATTAACTAATTACTTTAATAATAATATTTAAAACCCTGAAACAGTTTGAAGAATTATCTGTAGGGAAGCTGATATAAAAACAAACCTGTGTTTTACAGCCACATCAGCCAAATATCTTCTGAACCACACTGGTGAACTCTTTGATTGCTTCAACATCCCCCTCACTAGAAGAAGGATGTTGAGATTCTGGAGCGTGTTCAGAGAAGAGCCACAAGGATGGGGAGGGCTCTGGAGAACAAGCCTGATGAGGAGCGGCTGAGGGAACTGGGCTTGTTTAGCCTGGAGAAGAGAAGGCTGAGGGGAGACCTCATCACCACCTCCAACTGCCTCAAGGGAGGTTGTAGAGAGGTGAATGCTGGGCTCTTCTCCCAGGGGATGGGGGATAGAACAAGGGGAAACGGCACCAAGCTGTGCCAAGGGAGGTTCAGGTTAGAGATAAGGAGGAAGTTCTTTACTGAGAGGGTCGTCAGAAGCTGGAACAGGCTGCCCAGGGAGGTGGTGGAGTCACCATCCCTGGATGTGTTTAAAGAGCGGGTAGACGAGGTACTTAAGGATATGGTTTAGGGGGTAGACAGGAACGGTTGGACATGGTGATCTCAGAGGGCTTTTCCAACCAAGCGATACTGTGATTCACACATTTATTTCAACTACTTACTTAACATGTGAAGCGCCTCAATTTTCGAAAAAGAAAGTTACGACACCTCATTGCTACTTCAATGCAGAAATTCCTCCCAACCACCATTTCAGTTGTTCATTTTAACTCCAGGAAAACTAAAGGAGAGGAATTTCTACTGTATGAGCTTACAAAGAACAAAACTCCGAAGAACAGCGTAGCAGCCGTCTTTCCAGAGCTGGAAATGCAAACCACCCATATTCCATCACTGCATATTAATACTTGGGGTTCTCTTACATGTCTTAGCAATATCACCATGCAATCTGCTTCAAGTTGTATGTTCTTGATGCAAAAGCTGCACCTTACCTATATTTACAAATAATTCTGTTCGGTTAAAATGTAATTTCTAAAACTATTACATTTTGCTGAAATTTCTCTGAGGAAAAATATTCCTCTGATAAATGTTTAAAAGTCATCTGCTTAATCTAAACCACAGCCCACATCCTCCTGTATTTGCCATCCTACATAATGAGAAAGATCCATCTTTTGCTGAAGGGATCTGCACACAGCACTTGAAGAACTCACAGGCATCAAGACGAGGGGCCTGGGAGAGCTGCCAAGATCTCCTGGATTAACAGAAACCCGGCTTTGTCCCCATGCAAGACTCAAACCCCAGAAATATTCCCTCTGACAGCATTACAGGTACATCAGTCAAACACGGTGAAAAAAAGAGCGGCGTCTGAAAAATAAACTGTGAACCAAATAGAAGCACAAAGGACTTGTAAATGGTATGAGTAAGGTAAGCAATGAGTAGGCAAGAAAATTCACCCAGTAAAAGCTGCAA